AATGTAGTTCATTATTGGCTAACATTTAATGAAATCAATTGCTCAACAATTTCTTTAGGTAATTATTTTAGTTTAGGAATTTTAAATCCGAAAACTAAAACAATTGATCACCAAGTTGACAATATCCAAATGCGTTACCAGGCATTACATCACCAACTTGTAGCTAGTGCTAAAGCGACAATTTTAGCTCATCAGATTAATTCAAATAATAAGGTTGGAGCCATGTTAGCGATGATGACTGATTATCCGTTGACCAGCAATCCTGATGATGTATTATTGGCACAGCAAACTTGGCAATACGTAATTTTTATTGTGGGGATGTTCAGGTACGGGGAGAGTATCCTAATTTTGCTAAAAGATTTTGGCTGATAATGGCATTCATCTCAAAATGCATTCAGATGATAAGGCAATTCTAAAAAAAGGAACATGCGATTTTTTTGTCTTTTTCATATTACATGAGTCACTGTGTAGCTACTGATCCTAACAATCAGGAGCAAACTCAGGGTAACTTAGTTGGCGGAATTAAGAATCCTTACCTTAAATCCAGTGAATGGGGTTGGCAAATAGATCCTATTGGGCTACGAATTACATTAAATTCACTTTACGATCGGTATCAAATACCATTATTTTGGTTGAAAACGGGTTAGGAGCTAATGATCAATTCACTACTAGTCACGAAGTTCACGATCCATATCGGATTGATTACATGAAAAAACATCTTCAAGCAATTTCTGAAGCAATAAAAGATGGAGTTGATATTTTTGGATATACTGCATGGGGATGGGAAGATTTGGTTAGTGTTTCTACTGGTGAAATGTCTAAGCGATATGGAATCGTCTATGTTGATGTCGATGATCAAGGGAGAGGAAGTTATCGCAGATACCGAAAAGATTCTTTTTACTGGTATCAAAAGGTAATTCAAAGTAATGGTGAAAATTTATGACCACATGTAATCAATCTGAGCACATAGCAAAAGTATTGCAAAGTTAATTAACGATTTAAAAGAAAATACGCAAGCAGACTTTGATAACCTTTTTACAATAAATTGTAGCTTTAACATGTCTACTCTGGGGTCTTTCAAAGGCATTAAAGCAGCTAGAGAAAAGTTTAACTGGCAGGGATTACCTGTGAATTATAGGCAGTTTCATATTTTTAATAGTTGTATTCGGTATGCCGATAATCAGGCTGTTCAAACTGCATATGTGATTGGTAAAGTAGGAAAACTAACAAATAATTATTTTCATTACTTTCTTTTTGGTGGCGCTATTTAATTAATTATTCGTATTCTGATAAGTGGCGAATATCAACTCTTT